GGTCCCGCTGTCCGTGGTGATGGGCTAAAACGCTTACGCTGTCATGGTGAATATAAGGCGAATCGTGTGTTCCCAACGAAACCCCACTTGGCACCTACAATACGCCCACCAACACCGAAAAAAAAATCGCGCGCTAAACCAAGGAAGCACCGGCAAAACCCACACCATCCTTAGTAGACAAGCAGACGCCGCAGTTCGTCACTTCCATCAGTTCGTCACTTCCGTCAGGCAAGACTGAACTTCACACACAGTGTTTCCAACAAGTCTGGCAAGCGAGATCAGCGTATTGAGGCAAGCTATAAAATATTTTTAAAAGAATCTGCGGAATTCTCAAGCTTGCAATTTTGCATGAATGGCGCCAGCGTGCAAATGAGCGTACCCAGTGAATTTCTTTCAGATCCGCTGACACCGAAAAAATGCTGGGGTAGGCCTTTAAAGGCTCGTTTTTCGTGTTTTTACACAATATTATTGAGCTCTAAACACAATATTGCCAAGGAAAGTACAGTGGTCCAAACTTGCGACCAAACGTGCGCTGGTTCGGTTCCTGCCCACGGCAAGTTATCACTTCCTCCACTTTTCTTTCTTCACGTTTTACATTAAAATTTGGTCTAGTAACTTCTCCTGTACTTTTCTTGGCATTATTGTCTATTATACAAAAGCGTTGTCAACAAGGATAAATGTATTTATCCTTGTTGACAACACTCCTGTTCTGCCATATCCCATACCTTCACGAAGACTAACCGCCCATTGAATTATTACTCTCATATATATATATATATATATATATATATATATTATATATATATATATATATATTCATACCCTCAAAAATAACTTTTGTATCACTTAAAAATTGCTGCAAGAATATATGCGCAGCCGTTTTCCAGCGTCCAGCGTCTTTTTGGAACGCGCCCAGTGTCTCTGAGGGACGCATCTAGTGTCTCTTAAAGGAAGGCCAGCAAGGGAGTGGGAGAGCACTGCCCAACCTGTAGGGCGTTCATAACACCCAACACTGGAGTGCCTCGATATATCCGCGTACAGTTTGCCATTATTTTAGTTCTCTGGAGGTCACCAATGTGATCCTGCCAAATTTTAATGAAAAACAAACGTCTCCGTTTCCATTCATTGTACGCGGCCTCTGGGTTCCGGCTCACACATGATAGACGCGTGTGCGAATCTCGGCGAATAAACAAAATAAACGGCACGAAACCGGCTACCGATGCAACTACGACACCGTGACGACTACAGAGCAAACATGGCCACGATCTATAACGGCTGTTTCTGATCGCAATTTTTTCGCACAATCGTTTGGGTGTGATTTATTGTCCACGAGTCAACAATTGGCTAATATATTGAAAATGAAGAGCGAACTAATTAAATTGGTTACATATACACGAGCCAATAGCGACCTTCGCAAAAGGCCACTGGCATCGAGGCTATACTCATTCGATGGCAAATGTCATTTGCATCGAATGACATTATATATGCCTTGTGACAGCAAACAAATGACATTACAAACGAACGTCATTCGCTGTTAATGCCATTAGGTTTGCCGTGTGACAGGGGTATAAGAAATGCATGTGCATTTCATAAACGAGTGCTCGTGCTGCAAATCCGTTGTATAGGGACTCGTAAATATAGGCACTGGATTTCCCTCTGAGGTAGTGGCGGTGGCACATTTCTCCTGGGCATGCGAAACATTAAAAATTCACCACGTGCGCATTACCTAAAAGCGCACTGCGGGTATCTGTGTCTAATCAGTGTCATCTGTCTTTCATTGCTCATTAGCAGCGATTGACATGTTCAATAGGAAACACTGGTCCATCGCTACGTGATTGGCGCCTCCCCAGGTTTCTCTCCTGTGCAACACCGCTATGAGCAACAGCGTCAACGCCTCTGCAGATGGAGCGGTGGATCCACTCGATGGACTGCCAATCTCAGAAATGGGTGATCCAGCGGCTCGAGGGGGCCCTAGCCAGACAGAGGAGAACGAGAACTCGTCACCTGCAAACGCGGGGCGCGGGAACCCAAATATCCTCTGTCGGGTCAGGTTCGACCCTTGAGTTCTTGGCCCAGTGTTTGTTTTTAGGACTGCACAGATTAGAACATTAGAAGGGTAGACCGCGCCCTGCGAGGCCGGCACCTACCCCACGCAAGATCCTGTGAATACAGTCTTTCCTCTCTCTCTCTCTGCCGGTGTAAGCGTTAGCGCCCGCTGCTTCACTTCTACACAGGGTTTCTCTTTAGCGAGAGAAGATGTAATAATGAAAGGGATAAAGAAGAGCACCAGTAATTTAAAGAGCCCTCAGAACGAGAATGATACCACAAATTGAGCAGCCCAGTATTCAGCACAACCAATATAGTCAAGTGCAGTAATATGTGTGACGTTTTGCTAGGCAACTCATTTATTATTAATTTATATAAACTGTGCAGCCACAGCTTACTTGCTCTAGATAAATTTGGGTAAGACGTTTCTAATAAATAGATTTTTCTGAAGTTTGATGCAGAAATGATCACATTATGTACTTGCCAAAACTTGCATTATCCCAATCGATCACACTCTGAAGTTCGCCATATGTATCTGGAAATAACCAGGAACAAAGCAACCCGGTTTATCGATTTTCTTATTGCAGTCATATTATAATGATGATAATGAAAGTGTGACTGCATTTTGCTTAGGTGAACAGGTCCAGGTTGGGCAAAACAGCACCATGAAAAAGTTAGCATGTGTATGCGGTGATGCCTTGTATGACAACGGCACGAGCAAGTGGCTCTAAATCGGCATACAGCTCTGTGCATGTAACGCACGAGAAATAAATATGACTCCTAATATGAAGGTATTTCAATGAATATTGTAATTTAAATATAAAAATCCCCAAAACGTACTTATATAAGAATGTGAAAAAACATCTGCAGATAGCAAGTTGGTCCATAAATAATACGCCAGGCCTGCGCGGCAGGCGCAGCAAAGTCACAGCGAAAGCTAGAAGAACCTTTTTCCAGAACCTTTTCTAACCACTCATGGGGTGTATCTGCTGCAAGAACACTTGCTAAGTACTCAATAAGGCAACAATAATAAGAATATTGATTCTCGATAGTAGGCCGGCATTCGCTATGCTATTTATCGTCATTCTTCTGAGAAATGTGCTATCCGCTAGACACTTGCAAGTAATTTTGTGCCAATTGTTCATGCAGTGACTGAATTATGCCTGAAGTGGATATACACCACAGTTAATACTAGAACAAGAACAAGCCTTTGTAATGGGTTGGAACATTGGACGACCCCTTCATTAAGCTATTGGAGTTGTTTGACAACTCGTTATTCTTTTGCTGTTATAAACGCTTTATGACTCGTAAAAACGTGATTTCTTTTCCGACATCAAGCCTGTCTAAGGCAAGTTTGCGAACAAGACCCAAGCGCCGACGCAGCTCAAGCGGTAGAATACTGGGCTGGCACGCAGTGGGCCCAGGTTCGAGTCCCTTTGTGTCCTTGGTATTGTGGTTGGTTACGGCCACCGGCGGACAACTAGGCGCTGCGCATGACCCGAGTTTTGATCTCATAACAGCTTTCGCTGTAAAGGTCAAATTCGTTAAGTTCACTTGAGTTTATCAAGTCCAGTAGTTAAGTCGTTAGGAGGCGACAGCAGGAGGTGACCAAGTTTCAGTGAACGTCCTGATGTTCTGCAAAGTGTGGGGAACAATGGCTCTAAGATGTAATGATAGATGATCATAAGACAATTCTGAGTTCATATTTAACAGCCACAAATGTCTCAGTAAGTTTTTTGAACCGAAGTGATAAGAGGCCAATGAATTCCTTTAAAGTCCTTGCCACACGAAGAATTTCTGCTCACCGGCTGTTCAATGCCTCTCCGTGATATGTGCCAGTACGGTTACATTCTCTTTAAAACGTCAGATCTTACTCATATATGAAAAAATGTTTGCCTCATAAAGTGAATGCTACGATGCATCAGAGTATGCCAATGCGACGGCAATATGCGTTTTTTTACTAACTCATCAATGAAGCCGTTGCACTAGGATTTCGAGCTGTTGACGTCTCCCCACAAGTCTGACATCACATCACCAAAGCCTGACAGATCAGTGGGTCACTACAAGACAAAAGATGTTGGTTCTTTCTGATTGTGTACTTTATGCCTTCAAACTATTACGTCTAAGATACGCGGGGTGTCTTTGATACAGGGGTAAAACTACTGAAGTGAAGCTTGGCAATATGTGGTTCCTTTCGCGCATTGCTGTCCCGTAAGGGCTGTCAGTAATTCCTGAGCTTCTTTCAAAATCAGTTTCAATCACTAGCAGTACTCTTTAATAAACACTCGACTTTAAAAACATGCGCTCAATTCTGTTTTCCCTCAAGCTCCTCATTTTTTAATTCTTTGCCTACACCACATTTTTTTTGCTTCTAGACAACGTTGGTTCTTTGCTCGCTGCCAAGTCCTCCGACGCCGAGATTTCTGTGGCACAATATATCTAGCCTATATGGGGTAATATGAGCTCAAACGTGGTGTGCACTAATGTCCTGAACTGTGCCGAATAATTATATCAAGCATATCCCTAATAAAGAATTCGAGCTAACCTTCTTATTTGAAGTACTTGTTGGATGAGTTGGTGCGTCTCTTATGGTAGGTTACGTGAGCAGAAATCTGACGAACACAGCAAGAACATAGTGAACAGGTGAACCACTATTTCTGTACAGTTCGTTTTTTCGGTGTTTGTTCCAATTTTGTGCAGCGATTGCACAATAACCGTCGAATGATACCTACATGATACCTCTTGTTTTGGCTTCACATGCATGCATAAGACTTTCGAGGAAAAGAAAAACTTCCTTTTTGAGTACCGGGGTTGTGAAAATGAGCACGACAAAAATGTAAAACTGTTAACTCTATTCCTTTTCGAAGACAGATATCTATTATTTAGGGATGTAGGTGGCTCACCTCCATTCTCAAAAAAACTTGACCTTTCTTCCACCGTAAATACCTCATGAGGAATGAGACCTTGATCAACACGCTCAGCAAGGACAGCCGGTGCAATCCTGAGTTTATCGTTCAAAATTCCTCTCTGAAATGCCGGCATAAATATAAGTCACTACCATCATCGTATCATCGTAACTTGGTAGCGTGTAAACATAGGTTGCCAAAGAGCGGTTTTAAGTAAGGTGCAGAGTGTATTGTAGTACACGGTTGGTGCACTCGCACAAAGCAGCGGCTCGTCGGTCCTGCTTGCGCAGTTTGTTCGTAACAAAAACTGCGCAATAAGAAGTTCTTGCTATATTCAGGAGATCTTTGGTTACTTATATGAGAAGTACATGCTGCTGTTGCTAGTTTAGATTAAATTTGCTGCGTACTGCAATGTGTTAAACATCTAGCAGCCGGAATCAACTAAGGATTTGAAAAAAATAATATTCAAAACAAATGCAAGTACATTTTCGTCTTTGGGTGCCATCGCTAATTGTCAAGCGAAAGCTGAGCTTAAGGGAGGAACACAGTACAGAGGTAGTTGCTTCTGAGTTCATTCCGCCTTCATTAACTCTAAGCAAGAAGTAGTGGTAGGCATTACACATTCACATTACACAAAAACGAACGTGAGGGTGGTCAGAGCGTATATCGGGGTGAAACACGAGAGCTGATACTCAAAAATTCATTTATTTTGTCACGCAGTTTACTTACGTACAGACCTACTGGAAGACCGAGGAACGCCAGAAGAGTGAGGAACGCCAACAGGCCGAAAATACAAAACAAACGCAAGCTCGGGTCGCGCGTGCACCAACGCTGTGGCTTGCCGTTTCATGCTGCTTCGTAGTCGTTCGCATAGTTCCCTACAATGGCCCCCGGTGAATAGCGTAGCCAACCTGGCGACTTAAGGCGTAGTCACTATAGCGGGGTCGTAATACGACTTCAGGCGACTCACATGCACAATTTCTCGGCCACGACGGCGTACGTCATGAGACTGTGTCAAAGGTCAATGTTACACTGAGCGAGCAACGCTTGAATGGCGTCAGACAAGAAAACACGCCCCCGGTTGCTCAAGAGTTCGCGGGAAGCACCATGGCGAAGAACAAAGTTGCGCAAGTTGAAAAACGCAACTTCCCTCGCGGTTGCTGCGGGTAGTGCTGCGTCTCCACGTAACGCGTGAGGTGGTCCACGATGACAATTATCCACCTATTTCCAGAAGACGACGTGGGAAGTGGTCCGTATAAGTCGATACCGACGCGGTCAAACGGACGCGCTGGACAAGGCAGAGGCTGAAGTGTACCGGCAGGGCGTTGAGGTGGGACTTTACGTCGCTGGCATGCAGTACAAGCACGTACGTACTTGCGGACAATGTGTACATGCCGCGCCAGTAGTACCGCTGACGTGGACGGTTGTATGTTTTGAGCGCGCCAGCGTGAGCGCTTTGCGGGTCGTTGTGGAAAGCAGTACAGATTTTCGAGCGCATGTGGTTGGGTATCACTAACAGCCACCTCCAACCTTCAGACGTGTAATTCCGCCGATAGAGTAGGTCGTCTCAAATAGCGAAATGTGTGGCTTGACGGCGGATAGTTCTTGAGACCAAATTAGCTAACGGATCAGTCAGAAAGGCGAGGAGTTGGGAAATCCATACATCTTTGCGTTGTTCCGATGCCATGTCTGTGAAGTCGATTGGTGTTATGACCGCTGAAGAAGGTGACGAGGAGGTTGGGTCGGCCGGTAGCGGCGAGCGGGATAGCGCATCAGCTTCAGAGTGCTTGCGGCCGGATCGGTATGCAACACGAATGTCGTATTCCTGTAGGCGAAGCGCCCAACGACCAAGGCGCCCCGACGGGTCTTTGAGCGATGATAGCCAGCATAGAGCGTGGTGGTCCGTGACGACTTCGAAAGGGCGGCCATAAAGGTATGAGCGGAACTTCGTCAAAGCCCAGACAATTGCGAGGCACTCTTTCTCCGTGACGGATAATTACACTCGGCTTTCTTGAGGGTTCGACTCGCGTAAGCGACCACGTATTCTTGGTACCCTAGTTTTCGTTGAGCCAATACAGCACCAAGACCGACACCACTGGCGTCGGTGTGGACCTCCATGGGCGCATCAGGGTCAAAATGACGTAGTATTGGAGGTAGTAATAATAACCGCCGAAGCGCGTGAAGGATTCGTCGCACTTTTTGACCAAGAAGAAATGCCTTTGGAAGTTGTCAACAGGTTGGTAAGAGGAGCGATGATGGAAGAGAAGTTGCGCACAAATCGACGAAAGTATGAGCACAGGCCGATAAACCTTCGAAGCGTCTTGATAGAATTGGGCTTCAGATAGTCTGCCATGGCGCGGAGTTTCGCCAGATCCGGGAGAACACCCTCTTTGGAGACGACGTGACCCAGTATAGTGAGCTGACGTGCGGCAAAATGGCACTTCTTGATGTTAAGTTGAAGGCCAGCAGAGGCGAGACACGTGAGAATAGCAAGAAGACGAACAAGGTGAGTCGAAAAGTTGCGAGAAAAAACGACGATATCGTCTAGGTAGCAAAGGCACGTGTTCCACTTGTAGCCGCGAAGGATGGTGTCCATCATCTGTTCGAAGGTAGCTGGGGCGTTGCAGAGTCCAAACGGCATGACGTTAAACTCATACAGCCCATCAGGTGTTACAAATGCAGTCTTTGATTGGTCAGGATCAGCCATTGGAACTTGCCAATATCCTGAGCGTAAATCTAAAGAGGAGAAATATTCTGCCTGTTGCAAGCAATCGAGAGCGTCTTCGATGCGTGGCAACGGGTACACATCCTTCCGAGTTATCTTATGGAGCCGGCGGTAGTCGACACAGAATCGGATAGACCCATCTTTTTTGCACACAAGTGCAACACGGGACGACCAAGGGCTCTGCGATGGCTGGATGACACCACGCTTGAGCATATCGTCGACTTGTTCGCTGATAATACGGCGCTCTTCCGCTGAAACTCGATATGGTTGTTGGCGTAAGGGAGCATGAGTACCGGTGTCAATGTGGTGCGTGATGATCGCTGGGCGACCCAAAGATGGTTGAGCGCAATCGAAGGCAGAACGGAACTCTCGAAGAAGGAACAAGAGTTCGCTTCTTGTGTCGGCGATAGCTCAGCGGCAACAGAGGGCTGGAATGAGTCTGGCGCGGGCAGTGTGGCCACAGGTGGCGTAATAGCATTGAGCTGGAGGTGAGGTGCGTGTTCGGAGAACTCTAGAGGGCGCAAGAGGTCAACGTCTTGTATGTTACCCAAACATTCTCCGCGAAGTAAGGTAACTGTCGACGATAGCGAGTTCGCGACGAGCATGGCGGTAGCACCGAATTCCACGGTGAGTACGGCAAAGAGCATGTGTAGGCTACGGCGGCGGTAAATACGTCAGACGGAGTGAACAAAACAGTTCCGACAGGAGCGGCTGCTGGTAGGATGGGCAGCTAGGTGCAAGCTTGCGAGCGTGTCTGGCGTCGTGAGGGCTTGACGAGAAATTGCGCGCTGCCTACGCAATTCATCGACGCTTTGACAGAGGGAAACGAGGACAGCAATTGTCGAGGGATTTCTCGCGAGCAACATCTGAAGGCGCCGTCGTCAATGCCTTTCAATATGTTCCTGATTTTTTCTTCCTCAGGCTTGGTAGAGTTGATGCGGTTGCATTGATGCAACACATCTTCAATGTAGCCCGTGTAGGTCTCGCCTGGTTGCTGCGCACGGTGACGTAAACGGTGCTCGGCTTGAAGCTTGCGTGCCGCATGTCGTCCAAAAACGTCCGTAATAGCCGTCTTGAATGCAGACCACGTAGTAATGTCAGCTGCGTGGTTATTAAACCACAGTTGCGCGGTGTCCGCAAGGTAGAATGTGACGTAGCCCAGCTTACTTGGGTCATCCCATTTGTTACTTGCGCCGACTTTGTCGTACCTCACCAACCAATCTTCGACGTCCGACTCAGTGGAGCCCGTGAAGATAGGAGGGTCTCGTTGAGGATACACGGCACCGCAAGTGACATGAACGGTCGAAGGTCCCACCTGGAGAGGCGTCTCGGTGGCCATGTTCGTGTCACGTAGAGGGGAAGCTTACGGGAGCGAAGTTCCAGGTTTGTACGGGAGTCCACACACCTCCACCAGATGTCACGCAGTTTACTTACGTACAGACCTACTGGAAGGCCGAGGAACGCCAGAAGAGCGAGGAACGCCAACAGGCCGAAAATACAAAACAAACACAAGCTCGGGTCGCGCGTGCACCAACGCTGTGTCTTGCCGTTTCATGCTGCTTCGTCGTCGTTCGCATAGTTCCCTACAATTTACACTCTTTGACGCAATGAACTTCAGTTGATAATCCACACTGTGTCTCGATGTAAGGGTGCCTTTTATTAAGACCTCAGACTGATTAGCAGTAGCCCTGCAATCAATGGAACCCTCGCGCATCACCCGTACCTATAGTCACCCACGAAGCTGAATTTTCGAGAGCCCGCTGCAATAAATATTTCTTCATCGCAGGCGTATGCTGCTGTTGCCAGCTTTCATTCATATTTATGCGTGTTTGTAACAGCATGCTGTGAAAGAAAAAAACTTTACGTTTCACAGTGAGCGCTTTTGACGTCTGTTATTTGCGGGGAACCTCATATGCTTAAGGTTCATGTTAATCATGCTTGTGAGTGATCAGTTCATACGGATCATATCGTAAGTTATTAAATACTTCTACAGTAGGAGTACTTTCCTTGATGTATTGAAAATGCATTTGGCATATTATGAAAAGCGAAGAACTTTAAGATTTCTTTACTTCAACGAAATGGTACGCGCTCTATTTTGCGCCGATATCAGATAACTTTTCAAGGAAAACACACAACTGTTCCTCCAAACTTGGCTGAGGAGTCAGTGATAAAGGGGCGACAATGTGCATTCCGCCTATCGTTGTCCACCTTTCCGTGCTTTCTTTGTTTAGGTTTAAGGACACTCAAGAAATGACTAGTAAGAAAAAATGGGGGCGTGAAATTCATTACAATGCCAATACAATAGCGGCGCCGACGAAGCATACCAATAAAAGAAGCAGAGAAAGAATGCTGGAATGAAGAGTTTAAGTGGACTTTATTGATTGCTACCCTACATGTGTAAAGAGGAACGAGAGACTAAGAAAAAGAGAGAACTTGGCATTGAACTCAGGACAATATAAGGATAATAACCCTTTCCAACGCTCGGAGAATTTCAGCGTCTGGTCGTGTATTCTAGCGTACGTTTGTTAGCCACCACTTACCACCTCCACGCCACTTTCTCGTCTCGTGACAAGAAGCGAAGAACGGTGCTCTGTGTCGTGGTACAAGTCCCGCTCTAGTTCTGCTCCGTTAACCTGGAAATAAGGAAGGCATTGTACTTTAGTGACGGAAAAATGTTGGAGAATGATCATCAGTGTTATCGCAGCCTGCAAGGTGAAGGATGTGTGTGAAAACAATATTGGAGGCCCGTTTTATAATACTAAGCTGCCAAAAAAACATCACCCTGGTCTAGGATTTGAGCCGGGACCAACGCTCATACGGTGGTTGTTACTTGACCACGAAAGTAAACCTGCTTATTGTGATACCAAGTATATGGACGCCTTCACTGGCTTTTCCGTCGCTGTCATTCTTTGTACAAATTCAAAATTGATAACGTCACCCACTGCATCGTATGCTCTACGTGCTACTCTAATAGTGCGGCAGCCCTGCAGAGAAGCGCTATCTTTGTTTCCTTCATCCAGTTAACACGGAATTTGTGTGATAATTCTACCTGTATATAATTCCCGACGAAATATTAAAGAGCGCTTTTTCCTGCATGATGTAAGGAGCGTCTGTCGATCACTCTGACGAGCTTCGCTGTTTTTGGTGTCTCGCAAGGTAGTATGTAAGCTGGCAGCGTAACGTCCATAGAAGTCCATGCATCCAGCGTATGGCGGCTTGTTTCCAACGTCGCCATCTACATATGAAGGAGACAATTAAGTGAAACAAAAAAAGCCAGCCTGCTCGGAAGGCGCAGCCCACTCCCAGCGAAAGCTGGAAGGAGCGGCCTTTCAGAGCCTTCTTCTTCGACCTTCTTATGTTTGTTCGACTATTGTCCGTGGGCATTCAAACCTAACATTGATGGAGTAACTACTGCAAGCACACTCGCTTGATATCCACTAGGTCATTATTATAAATTTATTTGAGTAGTAGGCCGGCATTTTGTATGCCATTTTTTGTCATTCTTCTGAGAAGCGTGGTATCCGCTAAACACTCTGCAAGAAAATTTCGAGCCATTGTTAGTGCACTACTTCAGTGCTGAGATAATGAATTATGGCTGAAGTGGATATGCGCCACAGTAAATAACAGAACAAGAACAAGCATTTGTAATGGTTTGGAGCATTCGGACGACCCACTTGTTATGATATTCACAATGAGTGATGACTGGTTGTTGTTCTCTGTTTTAAAACGCTTTATAAGTCGTGATAACGCGATTGCTTTGCCTACCCCAGCCTACCTAAGGCAAGTTTGCCAACAAGTCACAAGCACTGGCGAAGCTCAGTGTTAGAATACTGGGCTGGCACCCAGCGGTATCCAGTTTCGAGCACCAATGTATCATTGGTGCTAGGTATTATTTTTGTCTAATTGCGTGCGATGGTGTTACGGACACCGGCGGCAGCGGAGAACTGCGTGTGACCCGAGTTGTGATCTCATAACAGCTGTCAATGTAAAATCAATATAAGATATGATGTGCCAATCAAATGGTGTAGCGACGTCTTATTTTCCCCTGCATAGCACATAAATATTAATCCTTGTTGCTCACTTTTTAATTGTCTTTTAATTATTATGCGTTCATTAGCTTTATGGCTGGCCAATCACGCATACGAGAGAAAAGGAAGACCAACAAGAAAGATTCAGGAAGCAAGGTTGCTGTATAAGCTGAATAGTGTACTTGCAATATGCTACAATACAGATGAAAAATTGTGATGCAACTGTTTACGAGCAGATTATCACTATAGTTCGAAACCGAACATGCCGAATCGTAGGAAATCGCTGCAGCAAGACAGAAGCCTTGGGAGTATCACTTTGGCAACCTTGAAGTGTGGTCTCCAGTTTTATGAAAAAAAAAAACACGCGAGCGCCTTACCTACGCTCTGGCACGGCTGCCTAAAGCACCATAAGCCGACAGATAAAGAAAGTGCGTCTGCTTTTTGCAGCTTCGTCTTTTGCGACACCGCAGCTAGAGCACAATCTATCAGTGCTTGCCCGATGGCCATCACTTGTTGTTTTGTTCGCTAAAGGCGCGTTTACGCTAGAGCAACGGGATACTGACATGACACTGTCGAAGACACAAGGCAGACGCAAACCATCGGCCGATGAGTCGCCCGCTGAAGAAGTCGCCAGACCCTATGGTCACACTAGGCCGACAATGACGAGAATGCCTCAAAAGACCGACTTTAATCGTAGTGTAACATGATGACAAACTGAAAACACCAGCAAAACGCATCCGCATACCCGTCGTTTACGTGCCTGTGGGAGATCAGCGGGTGAGCGAAAATTTGACCCATGTCTTTGCTTCGAATGACCACCAAGCGGCCAATCTTGGGGGACTTAATGTCCTCTCCGTGGCTTCAGCGGCTTTGGAATAGACAGCTCGAGCACACAATGAAAGCGTTTTCTTTGCTTCCCTATTCTGTCCCCCCCCCCTTCTCTCGTTACCATGCATTATGGCGGGGGCTGCGCCACCTAGCCGGAAAGGAACAATGACAGAGTAGGTAGCATGAGTGAAACTGAGGTGCAGGTGTGCAAGTTAGTCAGGGTCGCTGCGTGTGCCTCCAATGTGACTACAGAATTGGCCAATCAAAGACTGTGAGCACGACAAGGCGTGCGTAGGGTCTTCGAAAGGCCACCGGCGGACTGTTTGTGTCTTTTCAGTGTACATAGACCAACGACAAGAAAAAAGACACTCTCCAAGACAGCCCGCAGAGCAAAATAGGTGTCGGGTCTCGCGAGTGTAAATGCGCTTCAAAGTCACGTTTACACCCAGAGTGGGCACGTTCCCCTGCTTTGAATAACAAACAAACAAACAAACAAACAAAAAGCTGGCCGAGTTTCAGCTGCTATCTATGTCCTTTATCCCTTACATTCGTGCAGTCCAACAAGAGTAGCTTACGGCTGAAGTTACCTATACCTGTCTTGCGGGTCGTCGGTAGCGCGGGCTTCCCCATCCAGCAACACCGTCCACGCTTCCTTGGCGTCAGAGTCAACATTCCGATCGCCGCTTCAGCTGCCTATCAGACAATCAGTGGACGACCTCCATGCCTCCACTGCGGTACCAGGACACGACCCAACGGACACCATGCTACGACTTCACGGTAGAAATACACACGGGCTCCTGTTCTTAAGTAATGCTGTTCACGCTTCCCATCACCTGCACTTCGTTCCCAGTACTCTGCCCACATTCAATCTCGAGAGAGTGAGTGTGCGGGAACCGCTGCATACACAGAGACTGTGATACCTGCTTCTTTGGGCTTCACAACCGACATCGCCGTGAACCAGCGGCGTACTATCGCGTGACTCCGCGTCACGGTCAACGCAGTTACAGCGACGACCTACGCGCTGATCCCTGCCACCCTGCCCGCTCTGAGCGCTAGCAAATCCATGTTGGATGCAGCTGCCTTACAAAGCCTTGAGGGCAGCTCATCTGCACAACAAAAGGAGCTGAGGTGCGCCCTGCTGCCGTTCGCAGACCAGCTCGGCTACTTCGCCTCAGTGCTCGCGGCACTCTCACGTGCCATCCAACATCATAGGTTGTATGCGAAATGCCGCAATTCGACGGGTTTCAGGACGACACCGTCAACGTGCTAGACGTGCACGCGGCCTGAACAGAGCATCATAAATGGTTCGTGGCCATATACGGTCTTCAGCAAGGTGCAGTGGTGTGGCCCTGGCAGTAGTCAATGTCATATGTGGAGTGGAGCTCTAAGCTCATTGCCGCTATGACGATGAAGGACCTTTCGCGTTCTGAAATATGTACTGGCTCCAGCGCTGTTGTCCGGCGTTTGCTTCGGGAGTGATCTCCATGGAGGCTGCTGCTATTCTAAGGGTAAAGAGTGTAGTAGGCATTCACACAATTACCTGGTTCCCAGCACACCTAGGCTCAGAGGTTCATCCAAACTGTCCGAACGTCATTGAGCTCGCCCATAACTGTGCGCAAAAAATCGCGAACCACGGCGGTGCAGGCATCATCAGTCATCTGCTTTCGAGATGCTACAGGCAGGTTTGTTGCCATCTCGTAGCACGTTCAGACATTTTTCTGAATGTATAAATGCAGAAGGCGCCTAGCTCTGGGGCAGTTGTTTGCACACTAGCTCTCATGATCTGAAAGCGCCTGGCACTACGTTGCGCGAAGTTAACACAAAACTTGACTTCGAAAGGGTTCTTAAAAGCTTCGAGCTCTCAGTGCAGTTCTCAGCGGTCCAGGAGTCCTGTGAACAGGCGGATCTTCCGGTACCGCCATGGGCGTCGCCAATAACTGCTTCGGCCCTCTTCGGGAGTTGTCTGATCGGGGTTCTTCAGGACCAGACAAAACTTATTTCACCTCTGACTACTAAAATGACTGAAGCCAATAATCCTTACCCCATACAAACCTGAACGTGCACAAGAGGTAGCCTTTCGCATGCTACAAACGAGACCATACCCATCGCGAGGCCAACTCAGCCGTTACAACTCGGATATAAATTTCCAATACCCAGACTGCACAGAAGCATACTGTTCGCTCTCTTACATGCTCTGGCGATGCCCCGCGTTATCTCAGAGACCTCCCACCAGTGAGCCAGGCTTTGAAGAGGCACTCAGGATCCCGAGCTCCACCGTAAACTAAAGGCCTTCCAAAGGGTTTAAGAAGTGGTGGAACGCCACCAGGTTCCAGCCCTGACTCGGCCGTCACCTACTGTAACGGCGGCAAGGGTGTTTCTCATGGACCCCTGGTGGCTTAAACTTCTCAGGACCTCATAATAAAGTTCTTCACTGGCTCACTGACTCTTGGCTGGCTTACCTCCAGAATACCTACCGTGCTCAGAAAGGTGTCCGAAATACCTACTGTTTTGCAAGATCTAATTGCGATGTCTGCATCGAAACGTCGTGAGACGCGATGTTCTAAGCATCCGACACGTCCACGAATAGGAGCAAAGGTGTGCGTTATCTTTTATGATGACAATAGTTGGCAGACTCAATAGACACATTACGACCAGCTGACAGAGCAGCGCTGTTAAAATGAGTCAAAACAACAATTTTTCGAATGGTAGACGCTTAGTCATGTGAAACTTACGATCACATTGTCTGAACTAGTTTCAGTGTATGAGGTAATGACGAAGTCTTCCACAAGTATTCTGCTTTTACGAAGGTTAAGCATTAGGTCATCACGAATATATAGCAAAAGGTTGCCGTCATCATCCCTGCTTTCCAACAGTCTTGGATATATGAAGGTTTCTGAAACAGCAACAGAAGTGTAGTGAGTTGCATGTACAACTTAGATCTATCTATCTATCTATCTATCTATCTATCTATCTATCTATCTATCTATCTATCTATCTATCAATCTATCTATCTATCTATCTATCTATCCATCCATCTATCTATCTATCTGTCTATCTATCTATCTATCTATCTATGTGTCTATCTATCTATCTATCTATTTATCTAATGTCAGGTAGTGCACAATTATGCACACGCGCTTGCTTAGCCCCCCCCCCGCCCTTTCTAATATGTATTTAACTACTGCCTTCTTGAACAAACGTTCTTCCTCTCGGCACCATGCTGAGGCGCATTCACTTGGTGCCAGGTGTAGGTGATTAGTGAACGGCACGCAACCAACGGGTGAAAAGTTATCGCAAATCCAGGCAGTTTATGTGCAATGAGGTTCAGCAGAATAATGTCATGGCAGACAATTGACACCAACGTCGCCTGCTGCCAGCCACTTCAGTAACTACAATGCCACCACCCCCGAGAACCCGGCACTTGACGGGGGAAGTTTGGCAGAGCTGGAAGACATGGAGGCATGAGTTCGAGCTTTTCGGGATGGCCACTTAACTGAACCAGCCGTTCATCGAGGTACATACAGCCACTTTTTCGGGGCGAAGTTCCTTATGGCGAGGCCTGGCCAGTGCTCTAGTGGCGTCGATCATCGACCATTCTTTGTACCCAGAAGTGTCTTCCTTATCATACGCTGTTCCACAAAGATGCATGAAAACTCACGATAAAATAAATGATGCTGGTTTTTAATAAATGATGCTGGTTGATGTAGGTTGACGATATAAAAATGATGCTGTACGCATTTCATTTCTCGTTTCGTTTCCGAGACGGCGCTGTCCCATAGACATGCGTAAATATGGCAGTTGGGTAAAGGTACACCAGATGGCGTTGGTGGTGCAGCTTCTCTCCGATTGGCTTAATTATGCGCGGGGCTCCGCCGGCGCATCCGTTATCTCTCGATCTCCTGGATCATCGCCGTAGAAGTGCGCTTGCCAGATCGTGCTGCTTGGCGGACTTTGGACGACGAGGAGCGCCGTATGCAAATGCCACTGCGACTTGTGCTCGTCGATAGAATTCCGAGGTGCGGACGAATGGGTGCACGGATGGACGCATAGACGAAAGCGCAGACGGACGCACGGATGGACGTAGAATGGATGCACGAACAGACGGAAGCACAGACGGATGAACGGAGAGGCCTACAGACAGACGAATCAACGGACGGACGAACGCGTCGACGCTGCGCACCACTCATCATCATTCACTCCTTGAACGTGCTGCATTTTTCATCAGTATAGGAGAGGACGGGCGCAGAACATACATCACTTTCGTATTTCAAGCTATAGAAGGAAAAGAACGACGTTGTGTATGCAAGAGAAAGTTCCAAGCATCCTAGAAAGCAGCGCTAAACCTAGCCTACCACAAATTTTGTTTGTGAAACGTGACCAGAAATAAAACTACCAATTTAACGATGGTTTACTGAGCTGCATGCGCTGACATAGAAATGCGAATTTGTAGATTCGGAGGAACGTACGCTGAGGAGCAGAATCATTCTGGGAATAAGAAACAGGAAACTTCAAGAAAGGCTTCGCTCGCAAAACGCTTCTTTTGCCACTACTGTTTAAATGTACGAAGCTCGTGAGCAAGATGAAGAGCAAAGCGAAACAGTTTAGTCATGCATGAGCTGTCAAGCAGAAATTGAAGCAGTTCCCGAGTATGTCGGTACTATAGAAAAGCTGCCAAATCCCAAAATACATCATTTTCAAACTTCATCTAGAGTCAGAATTGCAAGTCCCACCACAAAAGAGCAAGAAGTCGCATCACTTGAAGCCAATGCATACAGGCAGACAGAATACTTCTGGTTCGAAGCATTGTCAGATAGCAGCAATAAAGAAGATCGCTTGACTAGAACAGTAAAATAAGGATAGACGCCCACGGTGTTCAAGCATGACACGGGTGCGAACTGTTCACTCATATTGCGCCATGAACTGAAAAAGATAAAGAAAAGCCCCAAATAATTTTTGCCGATTTCATGAACAAGCACCGAAGTGCATTTATCTTCACGTAGCCAGCCTCAAGGAAATATTTGAGACAAAATTCTTCGTTGTGGAAGACGACGCATTCAGTCACTGAGCGGCGCAATCACAGGTAAACTGGGCTTAGTTCGTGGAACTGCTTCACTGTGGCAACAACACACCTACAACGTGATAAAAAGGTCTGGTCTTTCCCGAATTGCGCGAACTCAAAGGCGTCGTCTACAACCAGAAGCTCAAACTTGGATCCAAATGGTCAAAACAGCTCGCCAGATCCAGTACGCAGTCGAGAACTCCATATTTATGCACAAAATTGAAATCATGAACTTCATTTAGGAAAAGTCACTACTTCATCTTGTGAAGTAACCTGACGAAATGATAAAACAGGGCTATACACTCTAAGGCAAAATTACCCGAAAAGGGAGTAACGGAGCCCAATAGGCACGCGCGATTAACGGATAGACCACAGTGGGAAGCGGGGCGCGCAAAACCAAGGGATGAACGGCCCGGGCATTGCAGGCAGCGCGAAAAGCTTAGCCAAGGTGGCCGGGCCTCCCTCTCTTCCCCTGCTAGCTCAGTATTTCCCCGTATTTTGCCGGCGATGGTTCGCGCTGCGTCGCGCTCGGAGTGCTCGACCACGCGGTCCAAGAATTACGACGTGGTGCTTGTTTGTACGCTTGTATGAGCGTGGCTGCTGCTTTTGCATTGCGCTGCACCCATGAAGTCTGGAGCAAGTCTCGACACGTCACCACGCCACGCTGTATATCTCCGGCTTTAAGATAGTCAAGACCAACACAAGACAGCAACAGTTGGGAAGGCCAATATGGCGGCCGAGAAAACAACAGGCCTATCGGATATATACTTCAGTCCGACTCAGGGCAGAAGACAGTGCTGGATTCTAAGGCAAGTAGGTTATCATTCCTTATTCCACTCTACTTTTCGCGTGTGTGATACGGATCGCGCTGGCTGGCAACAGGCTCGGTCGTGTTGTATGTCGCACGCACGCACGAAATGCATCGCGAAGGTCAGCTTCGGCGTCTACAGTTCGCCTGTGCTTTGCGACCGCCTGGAAATTGGCCGCCATTGCCGTCGGCCTCCCGTACGCTCGCTCGTCGAGTGTTCGCCTGTCTTCGTCGCCGCGATGAGCTCCGGGCTGACGATATTGAGCCGAGACCTCATGGCTGTGTTGGGAGTCATCGAAAACACATTGCGGGTTCTCGTTAAGAGCTTGGTTGTAGTATATCGCGTGCTGTCAGTGCACCAGCACGGGCTGGCGGGGCTTTCGCTAACGTCAAAACTCACTGAAAATTGGTCGCCTATACAGTTGGCTTTCCAGTCAGTCGGTCGCAAGCAGCTCGGCGCCATCCGTTGGCCGCGGCGGCGGACTAGCGTTTGCGCGCTGCACTCGCTCGAGTTTGTGGCAAAGGGCCGCATTACTGTCGATTTTTTCGGCGCTAGCTCCAAACCAGTTCGGCACTGTTCGTTGCGGCGGCCAAGCGTACGCTCGCTCTCCTGTTCGAAGTTCGCTGGTGGGAGACACTCCGCGTGTAAGCGCCGTGCTTGGTCTCGAGTTCGCTTGCTCGAGCTGAACGACGTCGCTCGCTTAGGACTCGCCGACTTGTTGCCGGCACGATAGTTCGCGGAGTTGTGGCTGCGACCGCCGCTCCTAACCTGTTGCGCTACAGGGATCGAAATGAGTCTTTGACGATGTGTGAGAGCACGGTGAAATTATTAGCATGTCATATCTCACGTATGTTTTCATTTCATCTTGCACGTATAACTCATATGCATTTGTATTCATCCTCTGACACGCATTACTCACTATTTTACATACTTATTGTACAGCCGTGGGCACTCACCATGCTGAAGACTGTGTGCGCTGGCGTCTGCAATGCCTGTCATCCATCTGTTTCGTCAGAGCTGCTTCAGAAGGACTGTGCGAGATGAGACGGTAAAGTTTTTTGTATGTCATATTTTAACGCTTGTTTTTATATTAACGTGCGCGTAGTTGTCAAATGCGTGCATCTTCATCTTCTGTCACGTGTGTCTATCTATTTTTACTATATTATTGAACGTGCAGCCGTGGGAACACAACAGGCAGAAAGCTGCGTGCGCTGGCGTCTGCAATGCCTGTCATCGATCGCTTCCGTCAGAGGAGCTCCCCAAGGATTGAACAAGATTTGACAACGAGACTGGACTTGTACACTTCACCATGAATTCACTTAAAAGAATGGAGAAACTTCATGTGTATGTAGATAAATAAAAGATTTCGATGTCTCACTTTTGTATTTCGTTGTTGCCGTGACTGCGAAAGCAGTTACACATAGGTGGCTAACTACTTTTTCACCTGTTCTTTTCTGCGCAATTTGTTGCTCACTGCACAGAAAAACAGGTGGAAAAAGTATCAGGCTTGGCGGAAAATAAACAAAAACAATGTGTGAACTGGGGACAAAAAGTCCATCTGATTGGAGTATTTGAGTGGATCAACCGTTCGTCCGGCTAAGTGCAACCGTGAGGACTAACGGTTGCCCAGTAAGGTGTAAATGTCGGAAATAAAAGTTGCTCTTTAAAGTGCAAATGTGAGGACTAAATGTTAGTTCTTTGAGGTGAATTGTGGAACTAACGGTTACCCACTAGGCTGTAAATGTGATGACTCAATGTTAGTTCCTTGAGTTCATCTCTGTTGACTAACTGTTAGACTCGGGGCCGTTAGTCCTTAAAGAGATTTATGGCTGTGGCAGCCCAATTATTCCCCAAAACGACGAACCACACACCCTTTTAACACCCTTTTGCCTTAGAGTGTATGCTCGCTACCCTATTATTTACTGCGGGTTTAAAGGATATAGTTGGGCTTCATTACCATGAATCAACAATGCTTTGCGAAATCCTGTAGCTGCTACGTACTGAACAGC